AAATCATTGAACAATGCAGAATCGTCAGAATGACCTCATGGTAAGCCATGTGTCCCAAGAAAAAATATTGATGAAACTATTGACTTTAGCTTTAATGTATTAGTCTCTGTCATTAATTTAACTGAATTATCAATCATTTGATGAACATTTGTTGTTTTGTTTAACATAACAGAAATAAAATCTTTAGATTTTAATTTTGTAAACTTATGCCAATCACTATTTAAATGAACTTTTGCTTGCTCATGAAATTTTTTATAGTTACAAAAAACGTTTTTTATAAATACACCTTTAAAATGAACTCTTTTAATTGGAGATTCAAATAGTACAAAATATTTACATAATGCACCTTTCAAAACAGAAGAATAACACAGCCAATCATAATGCTTAAGCCATTCATGTAAAAAGGGCCTTTTCCCATATGTAATATCAGCTTTAAAGTTATATTTTAGATTTGGAATCCATGGGGTCATAAAAAGTTGGTATTTAAGTAAGTTATCTTGAATATTTGTATTTAAAAAAAGACCAATATCATAATCTGCTTAAATTTCATTAACAGAAGTATCATAAACATTCATCTAAAAGGACAGTATAACTTTATAAAAATGTTATCTGTTGAATTTATTTAATTAATTGACAGTAAAACACACTCTTACCTTTAATTGCTGAGTAGTTGAGTCACAAGAATTAGATGTGCTCATGTCCTACAATTCGTTTAAAAAAATTGATTAATTAAAAACAGTTAACTAGTACCTAATAAAGGTAATAATAAAGGTATATAATATATAATTATAAATTATAATCATTGGGATTGGGAGATTCTATATTTTGTATTCTGCTAGGTAGAAAATATTACAATAGTTCGTGATACTATTGATGATAATTTGTAATTCCGTATTTTGATTACTGTTGATTATATTAATTAATATAATTACTGATAAGCTCGAAAAAGTTTTATTCTATATGACTATATATTATTTTATATTTTTGATGGAAAAATGGAATACCATGCATGATATTAAAGTACAGTTAAAAATTCCCAGGGGGGCAGTAGCCCCGTTGGCCCCCTCCTGTGGGCGCCCTTGCGGGCGAGAGAATTTGGACGTTTACATATACAATATGTATAATCAATAATGTTTATCAAACATGCGATGTGGCAAATAGCTATAAATATAAATCTAGCATTTTAATTTTTTTACGAAATTTACGATTACAACATTACAATAATAGAATAAGCTTGCAACGCTAATATTACATTTCTAAGATAAGATATGACGCATTACTCGCCCATCGACGATATAATGAAAACGAATATTAATAATATTCCAGTGGCAGCGTCCCAAAAATATCGAATAATATAATTTTCTAACATTAGTTGACAGTTGTTATTATTTAATAGGTGCGACTATTACGTCACAACTCACAACTAGTACATGAGTGTTTTATTTCTTCATAATTTTTTGAATTAAATGTTATTTAAGGTGATTCGTCTCTACAGACGTATTTGTGTTAGTGAGTAGTGTCGAGTGTGACTATATATATGTACAATTTTCACAATTTTTTTTTATATCTTATCTATACCGTAATCGGTGTTGCCTGTTCCATCGTCATCGTCGAATCGGTCGAGACATATTGAAATATTGAATTGTTTATCACTGTTGATGACGGGCGTATGACGTGGACACGTGGTAAACAGGGGACGTTGAGAGGGATATTACCAAAATTATATGCATGAAAGAGACATGTCTCAATGTAATATTTTAATAATTTAGTTACATTTAAACTGTGGTTCACGTGCCGCCACTGAATATTATTAATGTTATTACTACACTAGAACTATGAAAATATTAATATTTTATATCGTATAGTATAATCTTAGTTGGGTTATTTTATTTTAAATTTGTATCTGCCGTCTGGTTTTAAAAAATAACTTCGACCTTCGTCATGGATGAGTTTAATCAACTGTTTATTGCTGCTGTGAGCTGGAACATACATCGCAGTCATTTTAACTATTTAGCAGTTAGGACAGATTGCTTCACATGCTAATTTATACTGATTACATTTAAACTTTGTTTGTCTAAATAATTGACAACCGCTAGCGCCACTGCCACATACCATGGGCGCCCCCAAAAAATTTCACGCCCCGAGGCAACTGCCTCTGTTGCCCCTGCGGTAACTACGCCACTGATTGTGTTATAACTTATTAGTTTAAATTAATTAAAGAACAACTATAATAAAAAGAACAAGAGAAACAATTTATTTCGAAACTGACTAAAATTGCAGGATTCTTTACAGCTTTGAATCCCAGTAAGTACAACATATTACTAAAACATTCTTAAACAAAGTATTAGGTAGTAAGTGAATTTATTACAACATGCATGTTTAAATATTTCTATAATACAGAACCTGTTACTGCAATTGTTCCAGCTGTTTCAAGCGATAAATTTGACTTAGTTTTAAAAACTGATGATCAGACATTAATTTTACCTCATCTAGTACCAAGTTCAAGTAGCTGTACAGAAATTGAAGAGTCTAATTTGATATCAGATACTATTCTTGATCATGATGAATATTACAAAGATCCATTTAACTGGCCAAATAATTTGAATGATAAATTTATAAGTTTCTGTATAAATAAAGGATCAACTTTTTTCCAAAATAAGGAGACCAATTTTAGTCAGTCGGCACGTATTATATCAGGTAGGTTTTACTAAAAACCTTATATACAAAATACACCTACATAAATATTCATCATATTAATTAATTAAATTATCAAATTTGATTTTTAATTTATACAATGTATTTTAAAGTAGACATTTTTATGCAATAACGTTTCAATTTTTTATGAATTGAAATCTAAGAACCACTAATAATGATTAAGTAACAGTGTAATACCTGTATTAATAAATATTATACTATATACCTATTGGTTCTTTATTATTATTAGGGCTAGGATAGTATAGGATTTTGCATTTTTTTTTTAGGTTTTACAGGACATAGCTTTTCAAGTACAAAATGTGATTTGGTCATATACGAGTCCAAATATATAGTTTTTATTTTGCTTTTTTTTTGCATTTTTTCACTTTTATGGATTTAGGGTCATTTTTTCAATTTTACGGGCATTTTTATACTTTTTTGAAATCTTGGTAATATTTTTATACATTTTCATTTACACTAGATGTTCTCGATAAAAGTTTTGAATTTGTAACAGAAATAATTATATAAATATTTTAATTATAGAGATAGTGTGTTAGTACTCGTTATTGATAATAAAACCACTTATATATTACAACAATAAACTTTGATACCACGAGTTATCTTAATCGTAAAATTAGATGACAGTAGTGTGGAGTGTACCTACGTATGGTTTTGTTAAATATCTATTTAGTTAGTGTCTTTACTTTCGGGATTGCGTATCGTGCTTATACCGAAATATGCTGAAACAAAAATCATCGCAATTGAGTCGTATGCGGCTTTATGTTTCGGAATTTGGCGCCGAAGTCTTTTCTACCGATGGTTTGGTGTTATATTGTAAAGTCTGTGAAGATAAAGTTGCAGCAGATAAAAAATATACAATTCAGCAACATATTACATGCGATAAACATTTACATGGTATTCAAAAACGAAACGAGCAAACGACTTCTTTAACACAACCAATGTATTCTGAGTACGTAAATTCTAATTTTAATCTAGATTTTTGCAGGGAATTTTTAAGTGCAAATATACCGTTACATAAATTATCTCATGCTACCCATCAGGCTACAACTCCATCTTTAGCATATAAACCAATAGCATGCTCATCTTTGTATGATTCACTCAAGGAAGAATCAATGTCAAGCGATGGATCTTTAAGTTCATATGAATTAAATATAAGAGATTAAAAGCTAGAAAATTCAAAAAATATTTTTAACAATGTCAACAATGAACATGAGAACGGCAGTGGTGGTAAGAATAATATAAACTATAAATTAACAGTATAGGGGAGCCGGGGTACAGTGAGACATTTTTTTTTCTTTTCCTTATATCATTGAAATTAATAATTTTTATGATTTTGTGTATATATGATTTATTTTAAAAATTGTGTTAAGCATTTAAATGATGTAATAACATAACTCATAACTTAAATATATTTTAAGATATTATCAAAATAGTTAATTTTAAATTGCTGTCTCACTCACTGTACCCCGACCCAGTACACAGTGAGACACCAATTAGTACACAGTGAGACACGCACAAAACTATATTAAAATATGGTATTATATAAGAATTCACCCAATCTAATTTTAAAATAATGTTTACTCATTTTGAATAATTTAATGCAATTAAAATTAGCTGTAAATTACACTAACTTCTTGATTGCAAATACATTATTTTATTATTTTACACTATATATAATGTTTATTATAGTTAAATGTTTATGTTTTTACATAACATTTTAAGTTTTAAGTGTTGTGTTTCATAATCAGCCAACAATTAATTAAATATGTCCTTTATTTTAAAAATGAATAGTATAGGTAATAGTTTTCACAGTATTAATTTCAACTTCCAACTAAAAAATAACCAATATCAAATAAATATGTCCTGTATTTAACAAAATAACAACATTTTTCAATAACAAATAAATGTAGGTAGTTTCTAGTTAAAACAAATTAAAGGTAAACATTTTTACATTTTGACAGTCTTATGTCTCATTTTCAGCTATTTAAACTTACAACTAAAAACAAATCAACAACAAATAAATTTTTTTAAAAGAAATTATAGGTAAATATTAAAATTGTAATGTTTCATTTTAAACAGTTTTAAACTTACAACTAAAAAACAAATCAACAACAAATCAATTTATTTAAAAGAAATTATAGGTAAATATTAAAAGTTTAACAGTCTTATGTTTTCAAAGTCAACTAAATGTAAAAAAAAACTTAAAAGAAATGTAGGTAAGAATTTCTGTATAATTTATTACACTTAATTTAAAGTAGAAATTATATTTTATGTAAAATTACTAATTATTTTAAATTGAAATTACTGAGATCAACTTCAAACATTAAGTATGATTGCTGTCTTTTAGTATGACCCACAACCTTTGGTTTAGGAAGAATTTGTAAAACATCCTTAACAGAAACAGATGCTAAGTCAGGAACATCAGGCATATGAAACTTTTCAAATGATTTTTTATATCTTCTTAAAAAAGATATTTCTACATCAGTCTCTTCATCTTTTTCTTTTATTATTTTTCCTACATAGTAAACAGTGCCCTCTTTAATTGTTTTAAACTGAACTAAAACATAGTCCCCTTCTTTTGGTTCCTTTGCAAGCTCATCGTAGGTAGTGAGGTCTTCATAATCAATTTCATCTTCAGATGTAACTACAGTTGGTGTAATTTTTCCACAGATATCTTCTTCATCTGAAGATGGCGGCTTTTGTTTTATTTCATTTGAAAATAGATTTTTTTAATTTTATTTTTTTTTGGGAAATGTTTAATTTTATTTGTATTATTTTCTTCAGTTGAATCATTCTCTGGAGTATCTGTTGCAATTGTACTTTTACCTTTTCGGCGATTGTTTACTCTGGTTTTTCGGGCTTCAGCTTTTGGATATCCTCTTAGGTCTTCAGGGCTTACAAAAGTTTTACTAGTTGAAGCTTCAGTTGGACTAATATTGACTAAACTAGGACTTGTGGAGTTATTATCTGTTGACACTTGTTGAGATTCTTGTCTGTCAGTGACAGAACTGACAAGAAAATCATCATCATTAAAAATAAACTTATCGTAAGGGAAAATTCCTGTGGATTTAAAACCAGATTTTATATTGGATGGAGTCATAGACTTTTCAAATGCTTTTCCAACACAAGCTGCTACTTCATATATTGATATTGTTTTTCCAGGGTGTGCCTGTAGCCAATAATCTACTGAATGATTATAAAAAGATTTAAAAGGCCCATAAATACTAACATCTAATGGCTGCATTCGATTGCTACAATGTGGGGGCAATGTTAAGATTGTGATGCCATTGGATTTAGCTTTATCAATACACTCTAATGAAATATGACTTTCATGATTATCCATGATTAACAGTGCAGGGTTTTCAGTAGAATGGATCGACTATTCTGAGAAAGTAACACACCCAAAAAATATACAAATATAAATAATGATTATACTTAACTACGTGAACGTTTGTTAATTGTATTTAAATCAATGACTTATAAACATACAAATATACATTATAATTTTAAGTAGGTATATCTGTAGGTATAACATAATAATATTTATAAGTTATATAAATAAATATATAAATACAGTTACAACAATACATGTTCAGTGGGTGAATGTGGGCGCCTTAGTACCAGGATCGCAGGAGTAGGTCGCGTGCTCGACGGTCTGCGTCACCCGAATCTCTGCGCGTTTTCGTCGTGGTCCAGTGTGCGTATTCCCGAAGCAAATTCATTTCGGTCTATCGTATGTGCAGTTTTAGATCATTTCAGGTAGACACAGGAGCGTATCTTAGGGGTGACGAAGAGAGTAATCGTCCCCTCCTGAATCCGTATTTAAGGAATCGATTTTATGTGAGGTACACATTTAAAATTTCATTCACATCGACTATATATAAAAAAAAAAGTATTTCATACTTATGAACTGGGTTTTAAGCGTTTTTTCTAATGTTTATTTATGCTTTACAGATAGATATATAATTTAATGGGAAAATGTAGAAAGAAAATTTCAAATGTCATGCTATTTATTTTATTTTATTTTATTTTATATTTTTATACTTAGAAATTGTGTTTAGCTTAGTATCATATACTAATAAAAATTTTACTGTTGTAATGTACGAGTATATTTAGTAAAATATCTTTATTTAAGAAAATGTTAGCGTTAAAAAAAAATGAAGTGCATATTTTTAAAGTATATTTGTTCTTTTTTAAGCGCATAAGTTCATGCATATTAAGTACTTTTTAAGTGTATTAAGTTCCGACTACTAGTCGTAACAATAGGTTATATATGTATGGGATATGGTGTGTAGCCCCACTGATACATGTTACTGACTGTTACCTCATTATGTGTATTTTATTATGTTGAATTATTTTATATAAGTATGTTCCTTGTTATTTATAATTTATGTAATCACTGACTGTTCGAACGATGACGGTTACGACGATCGCTCGATCGAGATTTACTCGCTCTCGCCACCGATCCGTCAAACGAACCAGACGCACGTCGCTTTTGCCTTTTCTGCATCTTTGTTTTTACATACGTTTTCAACTTTTGTCAAACACATATTTTATATGTACTCTTTTTTTTACTTCTGCTCCCTCAAGCATCGTTATTATTAGGTATCACTTTGTCGAATGCGACATCCCAATATATTATTGAGCTTTTATTGGGCTAGTAAATTTATTGTTAAGTGAGCTTGAAATTATATTCATGGCACAACAAATAACATATTAAAAATTTATAATGCATGTTTTGGCATATTTAGTGGTTTAGCAATTTTAAGTGCATATTTCTTGATTTTTGACATTTGATGATTACTGATGAATTAATAATAAAATTTAAAAATGTTAGCAATAAAAAAATATTTATTTTGAAAGTTTTCATAAGATATTGTACCTATCATGATTCTCAAATCCCAGATTAGGGAAAATACAAAACGTCCAGTTTCATTTATATTTAACCGTAACAAACTAA